CCCCAAAACCCCAAAACCCCATGGCTCAACATTTTGATGATTATTAGAGATGGCTTAATTCAGATAAAGTTCAAAAATACAATTCAGCAATTAAAGCTTAAGAAAGAGATAAAATATTCTGATAGTAATAATAGTAGTAATAATAGAAAGAAGCTGCAAGCAAGCCTAAACCAAAAGCTTAAGAAGAGGTTAAATAGTATCCATAACCCTAGCAGTCTCCGAGTTTTCACAACTAGAGTGGTTCATACTTAAATAAAGCTGCTTAATTACTAGACACTTTTAATTAATAAACTACTCAATTACCATTGAGAGGGAGTGGAAATATTAATTAAAAAAAGAAATTGAGTTTTAAAGAATAAAAATCTTTAATAGAAAAACTGAGCGATCCCAATGCTGAATTTGATGATGAAGAAGGAGCAATTGGAGCTGTGGTTGGATAGAAAAAGGAAAAGTTTGCTGGATTGATCAGTGATACAATCTGGAAATATAACCCAAACTCAGAATATAATAAATATAATAATAAGTATCCTGGATCGAAGGAAGCATATGAGGATCAGAGATAATTCTTTTTACATAGAAAAAATCTTGCTGAAAATATAGAAAAGGCAAGAAAGGTAGATGAGAGTAAACTTAAAATCAAAGAAGAAGCTGATAAAAGAGAAGCATTGGCTCAGTAAGCTAGAGCAATCAACAGAAAAAAGTATATGGAAAGGAAGAAAATGATCAAGTTATAGTAGTAGCAATAAATGCAAGAAGATGAAGAGGGTGAGGTAAGTTTAAGAGATGGAAGAACTAGAGTAGTGAATATTGAAATGATAAGTTAAGAGAAATTTGCTGTTACTACAAACTTTGTAACTCCAGAAGAGATCATTAACATCCTTAAAAGATTTGGTGCTGCTTATGATAAAAGAAGAAAGGAGTGGGTCAGCTCTATAATGTGATATAAAGAGTTTGCTATTGAGGTATACAATTTTTGCCATTCTAGGAAGATATGTGTCGATCTAATTCCTTAAATGGTTTTTGATATATAGGAATTTAAAGTACCTTTTTCAGACACATCTAAGATCAATATTGTTGATTATGATTACCATGAAGATTTTGAACATAAAGTTTTACTCCTTAACCTACCAAAGAACTTATAAGTATCACTTTATAACTTTTAAAAGGTAGGAGTGTAATTTGGAATTGATCATCACGGGAGGTGCTTGATTGGGGATGAGATGGGAGTAGGAAAAACAATTCAAGCTATTTCAATAAGTTACCTGTATATGAAAGATTGGCCTATACTTATTATAACACCTAGTTCATTAAGATTCACGTGGAGAGATGAGTTAATGAACTGGCTCAAATTTATAAAAGAAGAGGATATACAAGTAATTACATCATCATAAGATAGCTTTAGCGCTTCATGCTAAGTATACATAATAAGCTATAATATAGCAACAAGATTAGCTGGACTTATTGATAGAAAAAAATTTGGAATTTGTATCGTCGATGAAGCTCATTATCTTAAAAGTAGAGATGTAAGCTAACTATTAATTAACTTAATTTTAGAGCAAAAGAGCTAGAAGTCTGGTTCCTGTATTAATGAAAATCAAAAGAATTCTATTATTATCAGGAACTCCGATTTTAGCTAGACCGAATGAAATATATAATTTGATGAGAGTTTTAAGACCAGACATATTCTACTCTTTTAAGGAGTTTGGCTTAAGATTCTGCAACCCTAAAGAAAGCTACTTTGGTATAGATTGGACTGGTTCTGCAAATAATAGAGAACTGCATTAAACTCTTGAAAATACAATTATGATTAGGAGGCTTAAATCAGAAGTATTAACAGAACTTCCAGCAAAAAGAAGATAAAGAATTTCTATATCAACAGATAGTAATTAAGTTAAAAAGATTCATTACATGCTTAAGAAAGTTAAAAGTTGGTAAGATAAAATTGGAAGAAGAGGAGAGAATGCTTTTGGAGATATTACTAATGATTTTGATGAGTTTGTGAGAGATCATGGAGACAATATGATGAGTGATCCTACATTTAGTTCACTAGATGATAAATATTCTTATTTAGTTAATGCTTATGGCTTGACTGGAACTGCAAAAATTAAAGGTATTCAAGAGTTTATGGAGACCTTGCTTGAGAATAGATGCAAATTTTTGATATTTGCACATCACTATGATGTATTAGATGCCATTGAAGATACAGTCATTAAAAGAAAAGTATCACACATTAGAATAGATGGTAAGATAGATGTCACCAAGAGATACGAAGCAGTCAGAAAATTTTAAACAGATGCAGAATGCTTAGTTGCAGTTCTATCACTTACTGCTTCATGTACTGGAATTACTTTGACAGCAGCTTCAACCGTTGTTTTTGCAGAAATGAATTGGACTCCTGGAATAATGGTCCAAGCAGAAGATAGAGCTCATCGTATTGGGTAAATTTAATCTGTGAATGTTTATTATCTCTTTGGTGAGAATACACTAGACGCTATGATATATCCAAGATTAAAATTAAAATCTGAGGTATTCGCTAATGTTGTTGATGGCAAAGGAACTGATTTCAGAATAGACAATGAAGATGAAGCGAGGGAATAGATTAATAAGTAGATTTAAGAAAAGAAAAATAATACCAAGAGTATTTAGAAATTTGAAAAGATAAGCAATTAAGTAGCAGAAGCCTCTAATTTTGACATGCAATAAACAAATATTTCAGACTTCTTCTTTGTAAAGAACAAAGTTTCTTCAAAGGTAAAGAACCCAAATCCAGGTGAGAGTGTTTAAAATGAGGACTCTATCATAAATTGTGAGGGAGAGGATAAAAGTTTCTCTTTGAATATTCAAAATGGGCCAGATCATATCATGAAAATGATAAATGGATCAGAAACTCGACATTAAAGTTCATGTAACGAAGTTGAGAATTTCTCGTCTGATGATTCAGATTGTGAGATAAGAGAACAAATGAATGCTTATGATAAATATAATGAGAAAGGATATAATTCAGATGATTTTTATTTACCAGAGCCTCCTCTTGCCTCTGTTAGCTGGAGTGAAAGCACATAAAAAATAAATATATAAGATGAGAATTGGGATGAAGGCACTGATACTAAATAAAAAGCTTATCAAAAACTTAGAGCTGATAAAAACAAGATGTTTGAAGAGAATAAAATTTTCAAAAAATTTACAAGCCAATTTAAAGGCTTGAAAAGAATTCACCAGAGAGCTAAGAAACCAAATAAAATAACAGAGTATGAATTGCCGTGAGATCCTTAGAAAATGAATAGGAAAATATCAGATTTTGACCCTGGCATGCTTTTGGAGTTAGAATATGCTAAAGATGATGAATCTAAAAAGTAGAAAGAAGAATCTCTATATGGTAAAAGACCTGAATAGCCTTAAGTAGAAATTATTAAAGTTGCACATTTGAGTAATGATGATTTAGATAGTAGAGTTTTATCCATCAGAGAAGAGTTGATGGGCGATAGTGAGATAGATTGGAAAATTAAAAGAGAAGAATAATTGAAGAGAGAGGAATCCTAGTAAAATACAATAGGTTCCATATAATAAACTGGCAGT